CAGAGTGAGATCAACCCCTTTTTATTTTATTAATTTAAAATAATTGTCTTTTATTGGGGGGTTGGCGATTTTCTGGCAAATAAATGCACCATTTTCATGCACAGTCCACTTTAGCATAAACTAAACTATTTAGATTGCTGTTTCCTAAGTCAATCTGCTGACCTATGTCCCATCAAGGTAAACAGATCTCACAAGGACTGTCGTGTGTTTGTTATATTGTTGAAATGGTGTGAAGACCAACGCGTGGTTGATTTTCAATGACACTTTTGCCGCTGTGCGCTGCTAACTCTGATATTATGGGCTCAGCTGTTATTCCAGCGTTCATATGTAAATATTTGTGCATCAAGTACAGTAAACATTCCTGTGTCTGTGATGACAGGAGGCACAGGGCCAGCCTAAGAAGACAAACATAAAATTGTCTTTGTTTAGCAGCGTTTTGGATCGCAAACATTGCGAGTGTAAACACATACACGTCTGACTTGGCGTCGCACAGTTGTGATTAGTATTACTTCCTTGCAATATTGGAGTTCTCAAGTCATTGCGGGGAAATTATCAAAATTGGAGCAGACAAAAACTGGAGCAGCTGTGCATGGCAACCAATCAGCTTCTCTCTTCGGTTTGTTCAGTTAAGATTTGCAAATGAAAGAGAGAGTCTGATTGGTTGCCATGCACAGCAGCTCCTGTTTTTGTCTGCTCCAGTTTTGATAAATTCCTCTCCTAATCTTTGTAGCTTTTATATGAACTGGTACAAAGGGAAGTAGAGGTATCGGGCTTAGAAACCCAGGATTCAGAAAAATTAGGATATATATCTTATAAATGATCACTTCCACCACTGAGGTTCTTGGAATTCAGTTTGTAGATGGGCTTTGCCATTGTATGATCTGGCAGCAGGTGTTAGTAGCAGCTTTGAATCTATTAAAGTATTTTTCTTGCCGTGAAAAATGAGTTTCAGTCGGTGAATGGGCTGTCATGGCCACTTCAGGGGGTTTTGTCATGTTTCATGTCTCAAGCCAGACAAATCAAGAATAAGGGGGCATTTCTTAAAGTGACACTAAACCCAAGAGTTGCATTTTAAAAATCCATTCAAGTACCTTAATTATTAACAAAAATGTGTCATTTGTTCATCACTTGGCTGTAGATCCTCCAATCATCTCTGAATTCATACACTCTCGATATATACTGGTAAACTTAACGTGAGATTTTAGTCCATCACGGGAGTGAGCTTGGAGCGATGACTAGTTTACAACACACACAGGGATCATGGGGAACAAAAGTAGCCACCCTCCAGAAGGAAGGACAGTGTCAGCACCCATTCAGAGATGATTTGAGGATACATTTTTGTTAATGGTTAAAGTTTTTGGATGCATTTTAAAGATTTAACTCCTGAGTTTGCCACTTTTTATTATTTAAAGGGTTATTAAAGCCCCCTGTGTTTTTGCATATATCTACTGCTAGTGAGTTTAAACTTTTTATTATTTAAACTTTGATTATCCATGAGTGTCAGTTTATCCATGTCTGCAGTCTCTCTACTCTGTCCTTTTACATATATTTCAGTTATAACCCCTATTAGCTTTTTTTTGCCATCTTTGTCCCATTGGGCAGATTTCACTTCACTTCCTGTCTGATAGCCACAACTGGAAGTGAGTGGAAATCCCTGGTGATCAGCATGGTCATCTTCCAATGAGACTAGTGTTCTCATTGGAAGATTTCCCATCTGTTCTAGTGACAACCAAAAATGTTGGATTTTCTTTAACTCTACGTGATGACGACCAACAGAACAAATAGGGTGAATCTCCCTAAGGGGGCTGCAGACAGCAGTAAAAACCGGTGTTCTAATTCCTCTCCACTCTAAAGGGACAACATTAAGAAAATGACAGAGTTTCTTCCATTGCTGTATATGCACCCTTTGGATCGATCGCCCCTCATTTCCTGTTGTCATGTAGACCTCTCATGACTTGAGTTGAAATTACTTTAACTGGGACACGGACAGCAATGAAAACCTGACATAGGTTCTAACCTTCCCCACCATGTACAGAAAAAGTAGAATAGGAATTTGGCTTTGAGTTCCACTGCAGTTGACAAGCTGTGAACATTCAGGAAAAAGTGTGCTTGTTTGCAGAAAAGGGAAGGAAGGATTGTGTAAATGAGGGTTATCCTAAAGCAGGCAAGCCAGTGGAATGTTTATTTTAAGCTTGATGTGCTCAGTACATGTTCTCTCCCAGCCAGCTTTCATCACATCTTGACGTATCGGCAGACATGACTTCATCCCAGTGACACAACATCATTGTAACATTGTGAGAGATTCTTAGCTGCCGTTATCCTGTGTGAGTCATTGGGTTATAGTCAGTACTTCGTTAAGCTGCTCGATTTGTTAGAATAAGGAAGGGCTTGTCAATCTAGATGTTTAAAAGCTGCGTTGTATCTCAGTCCAGCAAATCTATACAGGACCAACAAATGAATATATACATTATACATATATTCACGTACATCTCATGAACTCATGCTCGCCATAAAATCTGTTTCTTGGAGTCCGTTGAGATACATAGGTCCCGCCTCTATGCTTGTAAGCCCCTGTGTGATAGGAATAAAATGAAGTGGAAAAAAAGTAAAAGATAATAATAAAAAAAAGTTAAACCTAATAAAAGTAAAACATTTATGAAATAAAAATAAAACCAACCCTGCTGCCCCCACCATCTGCTCTTTTACACACACAATGTGCATTAAAGGGTACGTTCACTTTTCCAAGTGATTTGGCAAAATAGAATTACCCGCTCAAATCTGGCTCCATCACCCCCCGCTATACTTACCTTTCGGTGAACAGTCCTTCCCCTCTGCTAGTATGGGGCTAGTATCTGTACCCCGTACTGCCGTCAAGCACAACCCTGTGCTATGGATTTTGAATTTCGCTCGCAAATTGCAAGCACTCGTTGGTCAGAAGTGCTTCTTAGCACGCTTAAATATGGTTTTAATTAAAACAATTTTTTGTACCGGTAGATTGTCATGAGGGACAAGTAGATTGGGCCGCCGCTGTAGTCAATAAATATCCAATTTTCCTTAACACAAAGTGCAGTGTACCTTACCAGCGCACCGCAATGTACAGATGTGAACCATCTGTGGGTTGTGTTGAAAAAGAAGGTACATGTCTTTTTTATTTTTTTTTAATGCCTTCTGGAGCCTTCCTAGCCCACTTTTAAATATACAGCCTGCCTAACTGCTACTTGTGTAATAACACCCTTAGATCCCTTTCACATGAGCGGTCCGATCGTGTCCGCCTGTCAGTTTTTCAGCCGGACCTCAATGCAAGTCTATGGTAAGCCGTGTGTAAACGGATGAGCGTTAGCCCCGGCTCCATCTAGGTCCAGAAAAACAAACGGATCAGAGATCCGTTTCAACGGACTGGATCGTTGCCGGACCGGGGTAATCTGATGTAAATGGACACACGTCCATTTACTTCCGATTCCACATAGAGACACATGGGGTCCTGCAGTTTGTTTTTTCCCTCCATCACAAGATTGAGGAATAAACTGTATGGGTAAGGATGTCCCAGCGGTGACATCCGCTCCGTATTGCTGTGATCAGGGGAGGATCTCTTGACAGATCCTCTCCTGACACGCTCATCTGAAAGAGGCCTTAAATGTGTGAGTTCAGCCTAACGTAATTCGCTTTCTTCACATCCATTAACAATTCACTTTTATAGATAAATAAGAAGTTTAGCAGTGCCAAAGGTACAAGAATCATTAGCCAGGAAGAGTCCAGAGACACCCTCTTCTCTCAGGCCTCATAGTTCAGAGCTTCCAAGCAGTTCTCATCTGGTAAATCAACACTTCACATTTGGCTACCAGAACCTTTTTAGTAGACCGTCACCATATAGAGCTCACAACCTGTAGCAATACGAGACACGCCTTCCATTCAGGTACTATTCCTGAACAAAAGTCGCACAACTTTCACCCAGGGTTCACACATTTTTCCAATTGAGGCAGATTAGAAAAATGTGTGAATCTTGTGTAAAAAAACGTTTATTAATAGACCCCAAAATATATAGTTTTTACTAAAGTGGACCATTACCCGTTTCTCTAAAATAACCACAAACACGCAGTTAGAAATGTTTTTAGTAATGACAATATACAAACAGATACTTCTAGGGAATTGCTGGCTTTGTATTCTTTGCATACCTTATTTCTTCTTTTCTTCCCCAGTCTTCTGATCGGGGCCATGTTTACTAATGGCAGATTACTAGCTCTCCTATTACTTCCTTGATTTCTGGCACATGTGACTAGGACATGTGACCATGCATAGCATTCCCATGGTGACTGAGTGTTATAAAGCAGCCATCGCTCCAAGCTCACTCCAGTGATGGACTACAATCTCAATACAAATAAGTAAACTAAACATGAGATTGTAGTCCATCATGGGAGTGTGCTTGGAGCGGTAACTACTTTATAACACATACAGGGACCACGGGGAAAAAAGTAGCCACCCTCCAGAAGGAAGGACAGTGTCGGCACCAATTCAGAGATGATTTGAGGATCTACAGCCGAGTGATACACAAATAAGATACATTTTTATTAACAGTTAAAGTTTTTGGATGCATTTTAAAGATCTAACTCCTGAGTTTGCCACTTTTTATTATTTAAACTTTGATTATCCATGAGTGTCAGTGTATCCATTTCTGCAGTCTCTTGACTCTGACCTTACATATTTATATATATTGTATATAAAAAATGGTGGTGATGTCATTGCAGTTAAATTCTGTGTATTTGTTTCTTTTTGCAGACAAAAAATCTGCTAATATAATATTGACCCAAATATCAGAATAGTCATAGACCTGAATGTGTTATCACTGCACTAACCAGACTGTTCTGGTGTTTTGTTTTTTTCCTCAGGCCCAGAATAAAGAGACTGGCATTTTAGCAGCAGCGAAGGTCATTGATACAAAGTCTGAAGATGAACTTGAAGATTACATGGTGGAAATCGATATTTTGGCATCGTGTGATCACCCAAACATAGTCCAATTACTGGATGCTTTTTATTTTGAAAATAACCTTTGGGTAAGTAACACATTGGTGTCATGTTTTTGTCTCCGTTATGTTATCGGTGCAAGATTCTGTTATGCTTTGTAATGTTCTATTTATATAGATTTGACTGACTTTAGACAGTTACCTACAATGTGTGCTTCCACCTTCAAAGAGAACCAGACATCGCATGGTTTATGACTCCCTTTACCTTTTAAAGTGGCCACAGGTGTTTTTACTAGCAGATACCTTGAGATTACTCACGGAGCAGGCTGGTATCCCAAACATCCAATGCATTGTACAAAACTAGGGATGCACCGGAATTTCAGGTGCCAGAACATATCGGGCGGAAATGGCAACTTTCGGCAAAAATTGCAGTGCACTCCTAGTTTCTCTTCTCCTTCCTGGGCGCTGCTCTATGTCCCTTCTGACACAGCGCAGCGTCAAGCAGGGAGGAGAGAAACTGTCAGGAGGCCGAGCGGGTTAGGGAGGAGAGCACTGTTGTTGTTGTTGTCATAGGAGGCTGAGCTCTCCTCCCGCACTGCTCCGCTCAGCCTCCTGTGACAGATCAGGATAGAGAGTGGTGCAGGGGAGGAGTCGGCTGTCAAAATAGACCGAGCTTTCCTCCTCCACTGCCAGCCCAGCCTCCTGTGACAGTGAGTCGGGATGTAGAGCGGGTACAAGCACTCAGCGATCAGCTGATTGCTGACTGTTTGTAAATAATTGAGGACATAGTATATTTACTGTGTCCACAATTATGAATGGACAGGAAGTGCTCTACATCACTCCCTGTGCATTCATGATTGTGGACATGGTAAACATACTATCTCCACAAGTTATGAATGAACAGGAACACTCAGTATAGAGGCTTCTTGTTCATTCATCACGGCCTGCAGAAAGTCTCAATCTCAATCTCTTTTTCTATTTTCAAAGGGAAATATCAGTGATCTGTTTAGACCCCTGATATTTCACCACAGCCCTCAGCAGTAAAGTTAAAAACCTTTTAATATAAATAAATAAAAATAAATATATTTTTAAAAAAGTTTAGAAAAAATAAAAAGGTTAGAAAAAAATATATTTTCCTTGTTTCAAAATTCTATTTCGGTGCACCTCTGTACAAAATATCAAATATCACCCAGAGCTTGCTTTTTTCTTCTGATTATCAAGGGCACACATTGCATTTTGCAGCCAATATGTAGCTGAAGGGTATGGCAGGAGGAGGTAGGCCAGAGTTTGACCATTGCAGCTGGTTTTGAGAACCCAGGGCCATCTAGCGGTTGTCTGTGGATGTTTGTAGATGCCTACTCTTAGAACCTGGGCCAATGAATTGTGTAAGGTGATCATCAGCAGATGTTCAGCAACAGTAAGGCTCTAACAGTAACCCTAAGACCAAGAAAAGAGACAGGGCCTTCTTACAGAGGAGTAAACTGAAAACAGATTGGCTTAAAAAATAAAAATCCATGTATAAGAATGGCCAAACCAAACCTCAATCTTGTTGGAAGCTATGGTTAGGCATAAGATTCAGGTTCAGGTCGGACATGGGTTCGAGCCGAAGCTAGTCTGTTTGCAATTTGCAGACCCACCAATCTAATGCAGTTCACCAGCCCAATTTTATGGAGAACCACAGATTTGTGCTAATGTTTTTAGCTGATGGATACTTTCTCTCTGCCCTGAGAGAACTACATCCTTTTTTTTTTTTTTATTTCGACAATAGCTTACTTATTATCCTTGAAAATGGCCAGAGGAAAATAACAAGATTCTCCTCCCACAAACTTCAGTGGGGTTTTGCCTTTAAATATAGGGTTTGTGGACTCAGCGCAGGTTTTGCTGAACCTCCCACAAACTGAACCTGGGCAGATTCGCTCATCCCTAGCTGTGAAGTATTCTCAAGCATGTAGTTTAAAAATATAATACATGAACTAAAACATATTTTTTAATGATCAGAATATCTCCTGGCTGCTGCAGAAAACATTTGGTTGAGGTTACTGAATATAAACATTCATATACAGGTGAAACTCGAATAATTAGAATATCGTGCAAAAGTAATTGCTGCAAAAGGGGCCCAAACCAAGTACTGAGTACATCAAAACCATTTGTTGGCCAAGGGTGGCCAAGGCTCAGTGATGCACTTGGGGAGAGAAAGCTGGCCCGTGTGGTTTGAGGTGTTGACTTGGCCTTCAAATTCTCCAGATCTCAATCCAATCGAGCATCTGTGGGATGTGCTGGAAACACAAGTCCATTTCATGGAGGCCACACCTCACAATATACAGGTGTTAAAGGAGCTGCTACTGACAACCTGGTGCCAGATACCGCAGCATACCTTCAGAGGTCTAGTGGAGTCCATGCTTTGATGGGTCAGGGCTGTTTTTGAGGCTAAATGGGTCCTAGTCCATATTAGGCAGGTGGTCATAATGCTATAGCCGATCGGTGTATATAATTTACTTAATAGAACAGTCCATTTAGAGTACATTATTTTTTTAAAATTATTATTATTATTTTTTTTATAGATCCTTATTGAATTTTGTGCAGGAGGAGCAGTAGATGCGGTCATGCTAGGTAAGTCTGCATTTGTCAATATTCAAGGCTTATGAAAACTTATATTCTAATAGAAAGTTTAATCACATTATTTGTGTGGTTTATAACAAAACAAAAGATTTACTATAAACTTTATGCATGTGCTTTGATGTTCTATATAGCACTAGGGGGAGAAATTAAGAGTTTGCTACAGGACATTTTTATTTTCAATAATTTTTATTGTATTTTGAAAGTACAAAATAACCAGCAAGATACATAAGGAGAGAACGCTCTTATCTGTACAAATACAATTGAGGTTGAGTGGGTATAGAGCTGAGGCTGTAGAAAATTGTCCAACCTAATTCCCCAGATGCATGTATTGTTGGTGTAATATTAAGGGTAGCGTAATAGGACCCTCTGGTCAAGATGTAAAGATCTCTGCCGTGTCCTTCAATGAATGCAGAGAAAAGGATTTTACGGTGTTTACAAATAACATTCTATTTTTTTACATTAACTGAAAACTAAAGGCTCTTGTATGACATCTAAACAAGTACCCAAGGAGTATAGCCTCATAAAATGAACAGAAAGCTTCCTTTACCTCCCCTAAGTAAGTCAAGTCTTTCTTCATGTCTTACTTGCTCCCCCTCCCAGACACTGCAGCTCACAGTGTCAGGGTTTCAGCAATGGAGGCAGTACTGTCAATCCAGAAAGCAGTGGGCAGGACTAGGTGTGACCAGAGCATTCCCTGAGTTAAGTATTGGTGGATTTTTGCTGTGCTTTCTGTTTTCAGAGCTGGAGCGTCCATTGACAGAACCTCAGATCCGAGTGGTGTGTAAGCAGACCTTGCAGGCATTGGTTTATTTACATGAAGCTAAAATCATTCACCGGGATCTAAAAGCCGGAAACATCCTGCTCAACATTGATGGTGATGTGAAGCTGGGTAAGTGATTTAAGTAAATTTAGTTCAGTCTGGAATATGTAAGTCTGTACATCAGCTCCCCGTATGTGTAAACACTGCTAATCCAAAGAGTGCTGCAGAATATGACGTTTTTCAAGTCTGTGAATCCATTTAATAGAAATGTGCCTATGATTGCATTTATTTATCCGGCGGCCTGTTCTAGTGAATCTAGACTAAAATGGCAACACACATGCAGATTATCGTTAGAAAAAGATTTGTGTTTAGACCCTCTCTGCTCTTAGGGCCCATTCACACCAGGACAGTCTGTTGCAGTGCAGTTACCACTTGTCATGTTAAGGCGACCTATTCATCTATATGGGCGGCCATTGTACCAGAAAGGATCTGAAATCGTACTGTATTTTTGAACACAGCATACCACAATGCTTGTTAGTGCATTACAGTGCACTGCAACACAGGTCCATTAGGGTTCCATTAAAAATAAATGGCCCTGCAGTGCACCAACGCAGGTATCATATGCTACCACACCTTTCGTTATTGCAGAAGTTACAGCAATGCAATTATGTGAACAGGGTCCTATTCTAGCTGTTCATGGGCTACCTCACTTGCATCTCAATTGACAGAAGACTGAAGGGTGCAGTATTTTGAAGAAGACACTAGCATATGTGTGTAGCTCTTGATCACTCACTCCTACATGCTGTATGTGTGTGTCACAAATCTGTGGTTGGCCTGAGCAGATGTCAATCACTGCGTATGGCCAAATCTATTGCATACATGTTCACTCACTCCCAAGATAGAGATGTCTCCAGGGGCTCAGTCTGAAGAGTTGTTGGCAGATTAATGACACCTTGGGAAATCCTATGACATTTCTTGCAGGAAGTTCCTTGTGTGTAGAAAAATCCCTCTCTATATTTTCCATTATCTTTAGTCCTAGTAAAACTTTTAAACTTTGCATCTATACCAGGAAAAATTTTACTATTGGCACTTTTACTTTTATTAAGTTTTAATTTAAGCCATGCCAACTAACTGATCAAGCAACCACTCCAGTCTAAACAAAAATGTCAGAGCGTTTGGATCTCTTAATATAACCTATTGTAAGTTTGGCTTAGTTTCTGAATCTGGGAGAGCTGATCATATGCAAACTAGCAATCACCAGTGACCAGTCTTTATTACTGGAAACTCCTGCACAAAGGCAAACATGTCTCCTGCTGGATTACCACACAGATCAGAAATAAATATATAAAGGCTCTTGTAGGAATACACGTGGCTGTTTTATTAAGGCCTGTTTACGCCTCATCGCACTGTGCCATTTTCCACCGATTTTCATGTGTTAAAGGAGAATTATGAGGCGAGTGATTTTCACTCAGCCTCATAATCTGAGCCGACGTGTGACAATGAAACTGTCGCATGTATCCAAACCTCTGTTTTTAACCCTAGTGGTGAGACAAGTTTTTTTACGTGCTAGCTTGTGAGTGTGCCAGGAAAACCTTTTGCTGTTTTACTGTTTAAAGCCCATTCCATGCACACTTTGCTGTTAAGCTGGTGACGAATTGATGAGTGCGTTTGTCATTTATTTTGCTATACTGAGCTTTGGGTGACGGGAGGACGCTAGTTTGTGTTCTCCCGTGACCATTAGAACTATGGGGAAAAGCCCTGACCCCATAGTTCTCCTTTAAGGCACACAGTTATCAAAACTGGAGCAGACAAAATCTGGAGCAGTTGTCCATGGCAACCGATCAGCTTCTCTCTTTGTTCAGGTAAGCTTTGAAAATAAAGGTGGATGCTGATTGGTTGCCATGCACAGCTGCTCCAGATTTTGTCTGCTCCAGTTTTGATAAATTCCCATCACTGTGTTAAGCAACCAATCCAAAAGGAATGGGCTGTAATGCACCTTAACACACGTCTTGCTGTTTGTTTTTTTATACAACACACCACAACCTACATCATGCATTGCGGTGCAGTGTATGGTATTGCATCACAGGCGCATTGGGGTGCCATTCAAAATAAAAAGCGCTGAATTGCATGTATGGTGTGTTACTGAGCTTTGCGTTCCTTCATTGTGCGGGTATGAACGGACTCTTAATCAGCACTTATTTTAGCTAGATTTCAGCTTGGACAACAGACATTTAATCATGGTCATTGATTTTGCGAGGGTCTGATAACAGTTATGCTGTTCATTGTCAACCAGAGGACACCATCTTGCAGAGTTCCATTTGTGGACTTATTTCCGAGCCTTATTAGGCTTTTCAGACCTATAGCCCCTTCTTTCACAAAGATCGGATTTCTGAAATCCATTAAAAAAATACATAGTATGTGTGTGCATACTTCTTATAGAATATCAGCATTGTGTAACCTTACTTATATCAACTTTGGAATAAATTGAATATCGTGTTTGTGTATATAAGAATACCAACATTTCTTTCTGCTGGCACATGTTTTCATTGCAGGAAATAAGGGAGCTATCGTACTGTGTTGGGAAGCGGCAACATCCAAGTTTTTTTGTTGTGGCTTTAGTTGAGACGTGTAGTTTTTCATGTATACAAGCTTTAATGAGTAGTTAGTTACTACACTCTGAAATTTTTGGGTGGCTGGCGTATGCAATGATTTAAGTACTACAAAGTTCTAAAAGGGTTGATCTTAATGCATAATCGTGTTGGTTTTTTTTTCTCCTTAAAGCTGACTTTGGAGTGTCTGCTAAGAATACTAGAACATTACAGAGGAGAGATTCTTTCATCGGTACTCCTTACTGGTATGTGCTGTTAGTTTGGTTTTTATTTGCCAACCTAATGGATATGTTTTTTGATGGCATTGTGTGGCTTTGCAGCTTTGGATCCTGGGTCTGAGCCCCACTTGGGACACTGTCTGCAAGGGCTTTGTGCGTTCTCCCTGTCTTGGCATAAAATTTATCTGGTGCTCCAGTTCTCCCCATAAACTAAAACATCAGTGTGGCAGGGGCATTATTCTGCAAGCACCAGAGGATAGTCACTGATTATAAATGGTCTATGCACCTGTAGAGAGCGCACCATAAGTTCTTCAGTGATCATTTATGTGTCTCGCATGTTGAAAGGTAATTTTGTGTTCATTCAGTTTTCACTAAATCATTCCAAAATTGACCCATCTTTAACCAACCTGACACGAAGTAGGTTTTAATTACTCTAGTCTTCGTAGAGTTTTGGAATATGGAAGCTAAAAAAAAAACAACCCTTCGGTTGGAAAGCCTTGTAAGGGCTTTTAGAGATAGGCAAATCACCATACAGTAAGGTATATTCCGCATTCATTTGATTTAAATCTGAACTCTGTGTAGATTTTTAAAGACACCGATTAAAGTGACATTAAACCCTCGGATTTTTTACATAAACCAATACTGTAATGTGTGCATTACTGTAATCCATGGTAGTTTCCCTTCTCTTTGCTGCTCTTCCTTTTAAATCCTCATGTCTTCTCATGCTTGGGGAGAACTTCCCTTTGCAGCTGAGTGCCTCTTCCTGTAGTGCTGGCTCAGGTTGCAAACCTACACACAGACACCATGTATCCAATTAAGAGACAAGGCAGTCACCTGCAAAACAGAAGTTCTGCCCAGCATGAGAACAGATACAGATTTAAAAGGAAGAGCAGCAAGTAAGGCACACATTACAGTATTGTTTTATGTTAAAAAATCTGAGGGTTCAATGTCACTTTAATGCAGCTTTGTAATTAATAATAGACCTTGTATTTTCTTAAATACAAGCAGTGTATTTTACTTGAAATCAGCCTTTTTTAATCCATTGAACAACAGAGCTCAGGCTAGGAAGGGGAGATGCAGCCCAAGGAGACAATTAGTTATACTACAGGGCTCATGTGCTAACAAGGGGCATGCAGGAAAACAGAGAAATGAGCTCATCAGTCTGCTGCCTCTCCTTTTATTGTCCATTCTAAGGCTGGTAGCAGAGATCAGGCCCGTACGTGTTTGAGAAAAGCCAGGTCTCAAGGCTGGCTGTGCAGAAGAGCGGTGTAAATGTCAGGAACAAATGGAGAGAATTACAGATCATTTGGCAAGTAAAACAGATCTCATAGATATATATTTCCTCTACGTGTTTAGCTTTTTTTTTTTTTTTGAAAAATCTTTTTTATTCATTTTGCATAGTAAACAATTACATTACAGTAACATTATTTAGCTTTTTGACTGGAGTTTAGCTTTAAGCTGAATTGTATATCCCTTTTGTGTGGGTAGAAAAGTAGTTCTTACTCAAACAAATGTTAGTGCACATAAGCTCAATTATTTTTTCATAGCTTTTCACAGTTTTACACAGTTTTTTTTTTTTTTTTTTTTCATGAATTACATTTTTATGGTGTGTGGCTTTTGAGTGTTGGTGTGCTTCACATCTCTCTCCTTTTCTTTTAGGATGGCACCAGAGGTGGTGATGTGTGAAACCTCCAAGGATAAACCTTATGATTTTAAAGCTGATGTTTGGTCTCTTGGCGTGACTTTAATAGAGATGGCTCAAATTGAGCCACCACACCACGAATTAAACCCAATGCGAGTGTTGCTAAAGATTGCAAAATCTGAGCCTCCTACATTAGCTCAACCTTCTAGGTGGTAAGTTTTGGGTTTTTTCTACAGTCGCTTCTCAAAGCTTTGTGTTTTTGTATTTTACTGTGATTTACATTTAATTGTATTGCTCTTCATTTGTTCAATGCTCAATATCAATTAATAAAAATAAAATAACTGTTGGTTATGCTAATGGAAAGCTAGCAGACAGGTGGTGGCATTCATTATCTAATCTGTATTAAAACAAAAAAAAATGTTTGCACATGCTTACTGTGGGCGAGCATGTACGGAAGTAAATGTACTGAGAAAGGGTTACAGATTTTTTTTCGACTTTTCTTTCCTTTAAAGTTGGCCTGTGCTCAAATGTTAACATAAAGTTGTGTCTTTCCAGGACAGATGAGGTAAAGGGAAAAAAAAAAAAAACCTAAATTACTTAACTTTGCTTGAGAAAATGTCACATTAGGCTCCCTCCAGTGTTAGTCATGTGACTAAAAGCCTCGATTTTTGGTCATGTGGTCTCTGCAGAAGAGGAGGAGCAGTCACTCTGAGTTCTGATATTCCCTTTCAGCATAGATCATGTGACTAAATGCCTAGGCTATTGGGTAGGTGGTTAGTGCTGGCGTATCTAGAGCTCCACAAAAGATAACAATTTCAACCTTTTATTTCTCTATCAATCACAGCAAGACTATTCACAAAGCTTTTATGTTAATATTGGAGTAAAAGACTATTTTAAAGCTTGACTTTAGTTTCCCCAAAAATCATTCAGCCCCCCCCACTCCCTTTTCCCTGCTCTCCTCCCCCCTCCCTTTTCCCTGCTCTCCTCCCCACATTTAATTATGCATAATATAAACTATAGTCTTATTTTCCACTTCAGTCTTGTGACTAAGCCTGTTGCAGCTTGTTTATCTCCAGTGTCAGGCTATAGGCTGTCTTCTACAGTGCTCACACTTTCCAGCATGGTGATGTGTGAGAGTTGATCCAGGCAGAATACTGTGAGGATGTGTGAGAGGATGCTAAGCCCCGGGAGTGTGTCCATGGCAGTCTGGGATTACAGGAAGGGGTTGGATGATACTGGCCATCATTCAACTGGGAAGTGGGGCAACAAACACAGTACACAAGTGCTGAGAGAAGTGCTCAAGCCTGTAGAAGGTAAGAAGAGCTTATGGTGAATGAATAAATGAGGACAAAGATTTTGAAATTAATTAAAAAAACAATGGAATCTAGAGTTGGTCTTTGGGCGTGCTTGCTTCGGGCTGATCCCTGCTAGCAAGTCATAGGCTAGCCTCAGAGATATTGCAGCTACCTTCTTTCATATAAATGTAGGCTGTCTCAGATACTCGCAGCCCCACCACCACCCCGCGCCCCCCAAGCAAACTACAAGGTAACTGCAATAGATGACTTTAAATACTTACCTCTCCGGCAGATGGCATGTTCGATCTCCTCTGTGTTAAAGTGATATAGCCTCTAAGAAAGGGTTCACATCTGACACAGTTCTGAGTGTGTTGAATGCCTGGTCTCCACCTGCAATCAGTGGTTCTGCCGGCTGACCCCTACATGACTACTGTGTCCTATAGTGACATAGGAGAAAGCAAAAGGAACCACAGCATGTGGTTTTGACACAGGCATTCAACACACTTGGAGTTGGTGAATGAAGACTTTACTGGATGCTGCATTGCATCACACAGAGATGTTCGGACTCTGTTTCTTGTAGAGGTCTTTAAAGCCTCCTATCGAAGGAAGATGCTTTTTTTTTCCCCCCTCAAAGCTAATCCCTAATGAAATAAGTCTTGGATATCAAGAAAATATAATTCTGCTAAAATTTTGTTTTAGGTCGAGGGATTTTAGTGACTTTTTGAGGAAATGCCTAGACAAAAATGTTGATAACCGCTGGACTACTGCTCAGTTGCTACAGGTAAAAGAAAACACAGGCACTTTGTATAGCTAGAGTTTTATGCTCTATATGTTTGAGTAAAGTTTGGATATCTCTGTCTTTAGCACCCATTTGTGTCAGTGGTTCACTCCAACAAGCCCATACGAGAGCTAATTGCTGAAGCTAAGGCCGAGGTTTTGGAGGAAATGGAAGAAGCTAAAGATGAGGAAGAAGAGGATGAGGCAGAGACCTCTTTGGTTAGTGCTTTCTAAGTCTTGTGGTTTTATGATCGTATTGCTTGCAAATTGTGTGCATTTTGTACATTGAGTTTAGTAAGAATGGGACCTTCTTTTTGTTGTATTTATATATATATAAAGTAACATTGATTTCGTACTGTTCAGCCTAAAAAAATACCAAAAATGTTCAACCTAAAAATGTAACTTGTTAACCTAAAGGGACAACTGTTTTATAAGCAGTGTTTTCTTTAATGCCACCTTTTAGTACACTCAAAGAATTTGCATTATTCATATGAACAAAAAGGTACAAAATTAAATGGGTGGAAAAAATAAGGCATCTGTTAGATTTGTATTTATGTTGAAGTGATAGAAGTACTGTCAGGTTTTTATTGCGGTCTGTGACCCCACTGGAGAGATGTACACTCTCCATGTGCTTTAGAGACCATTCTCACCAGGACTGAAAGTGAGGAAAATGTCATTGGGTTGTCATCAAGGACATTCTTTCAATGGGGACACTTGATTTGTCCGTGCTGAACCGCCGACATGAACAACCCCATACATTCCTATGGGAACCGTTCATGCGATTGCGCTATTCCGCGTGATCCGAACCGCCTGCCTCCCAAAATGCTCTCTGACCTGTTTTTTAGCGCTGATCAGCGTGGCTTACATATAGATTTTAATGGAAACACACAAACGCGATTCAAAACGCCCAAAAACACCCTTTTAAAAATCGTGCAGAAGCCGCGCTGAAACGCATCCACCCTGGTGTGAATGGGGCCTCCGAGTGGATTTCCTGTTTTGTCCACAGGGAGGGTAGTGAAGAGTAATTCTCAATGGAACCAGATGGCAAAACAAACTTGAAAAGGTTTTGAACCCATCCCCACTCTATCCAAAACTTTAAAAAATGGCTTTAGATATATTTTAATATTTTATTGCGTATGTTGCCGAACACCTTTCAGCTTTTGTAATGTTTGTTTATATTTTTTATTTAGCCTGTTCCAGACAGTAAACGGGCTTCTTCAGACCTTAGCATTGCAAGCTTGGACGATGATAAACTTTCCCAGAATGCTTCAACTCTAGAACCTGTTTCTGAAAAACCTGCAGCTGCTGAGGTTGAGGATAAAGCCTCAAATAAAGATAACCTATCCAATGCTGCTAAAGTGAAGGCGGAGGAAACGCCTGACGTTCAGAAGCCTGCCATTCCAGAAGTCTCCAGAAAAGAAAACGAAATAGCAGATGCTGAGAAGAGTGCCGTACCTGTGAAAGAGGAGAATGTAACAGAAAATAAGGAAGATGTTGGTGTGGTAGTGTCTGTCTCAGCTGCTGACAGTCTACCCCAACCAGCAGAAGCACCTTCTCCTCCATTAATTGTTGAACAAGAAAAAACACACGTAATCGAAGATCAGCCTACACCTGCAGAGTCTGGAAAACCACAAGTAATCGAAGATCAGCCTACACCTGCAGAGTCTGGAAAACCACACGTAATCGAAGATCAGCCTACACCTGCAGAGTCCGAAAAACCACATGTATTCGAAGATCAGCCTACACCTGCAGAGTCCGAAAAACCACACGTAATCGAAGATCAGCCTACACCCGCAGAGTCCGAAAAACCACACGTAATCGAAGATCAGCCTACACCTGCAGAGTCCGAGGTGAGACAGCCTGTCCCCAAATCTGAAGAGGAAGAAATTAAAAATGAGAAAGAAGCAGAAGGTGCAAAACCTGTATGTGTGCCAAATCATGAGAATGAGACTACAGATCAGGTTCCTAAGATAGAGCTTAAAGAGGAGCAGAAACCTGAACCTCATGTTGTGGAAAATGGTACAAGTGAAGAATCTGTTGATGAGAAGTCTGATCTGACAGCAAACACTAATGATAAAAGTGAAGAGATTACTGTTGTATCTAAAGTTAATGATATTCAGGAGGAAGTTGAAGGTTCCAAAACTAAACTTGAGACAGCTGAGGTCTCACCTGAACATGACAGAAGCCAAGAAATAAAAGAAGGTCCATCTAATGTAAACATTTGTTCAAATAGTCAGGATGACCAAAAAATGGAAGATGCAAATGAAGTAAATCATGTAAATGGTGATGAAGTACTTGCCCCATCTTTACCTATTAAGACAGATGCTGACCAAAAAGAGGAAGCCAGCAGTGTTTCTGATGATGGTGCAAAGGATCTTTCCAGTGAAGATGTATCTTCAGCTCCACAGTCTGATAAAGAATCTGTCCAAAGTCTTCCCCAGGATGATGCTGTCAATCCCAATGATAGTGCTGCTGCCCCAACAGATGACTCTCAAATCGGTGTACCTAGTATCAGTGTCATCGCTGCTGTAGAGGAAGGCAAGGAAAAATTGGGAAAGCCTCAGTCAGGGGAAGCAGAAATTCAAAAAGAAGTTGATTCTGACTCTGGAATGGGATCCACAGCTGATAGTGGCAGTATGGACTTGAATTTGTCCATATCAAGTTTCTTAATTAAGAAAGGGGAATCTGGGTCACTATCTATACAGGTAAAGGAATAAGAACAATTGGTTGTGAGTTTTCTTTGGGCTCTGTGCAAAGTGGAAGGATTGGGGAAAGTAAGTCCACTATGGCTTCACATAAAATATACTTCAAGGGGAGCTCCAGGGATTTTTTTTTTTATTCTGCTCCCACTCACCTCAAAGAATAAATGATGGTGCTTTCCTATATGCTCAGGCTGACATGGACACAACCCTGGGGGGGCACTGAACAACGCACACATTGAGAAAAGGTTAAAAATTCTGGCAGGTCTTTATTGCTCTGTTTCCCTATTGGGTGAAGTTCACTTTTAACCTTGTTCCAAGACGGGAAGTCTGTTTTTTTTTAACATATAAACATATATTTTACGGGAAATGTGGTTTACTTGCACCTTTTAACTCAGTGCAAGTCTACAGGGAGGGCTCTGCCCAAAGATTTTTTTTTTTATACAGAAAACAGTTCTATGAGTGAGCTTAACCTGTTCAGTTCTGTTAATCTGAGAAAAAAGTCCATTCTTCATTTAGCCTGCCAGTCCATGGACTTTTTGCAGCAGTGTTTCAGCAGGAATACTGACTGCACTGCATGATATACACATGGTCACTACAGGGGGCATCTACAAGTCTGTATATATGTATGAATGTGAAAATTGCATCGTAATTTTAATGTAAAAATATTTAAATATTCTTGTAGCCGTGTAATAATTGTTGCATATGCAAAAATCTACTTTTTTCTACAATAGGAGTTTTGAGTTTTTTAGTGTTGTTTTTTTTTTTCTCAGGAAAATAAAAGACAGAAGAAAACTCTGAAAAAGACTCGAAAGTTTATGGTTGACGGAGTAGAAGTGAGTGTCACAACCTCCAAGATTGTGACGGATAATGACTCCAAGAGTGAGGAGCTGAGATTCCTCAGGTATGTTATTATTAAGAACTTTTATAGATTGCACTCTAGAAGTAGATCAATCAGACAAGTACATACAAAATGTATTGGTCAAATTATTAATTCCATCATATATACAGAGGTGTATAGAGCAAATTTTTACCATTAAATATTCATTAGGTCACAGCATATAGCATTTAAAGGTCAACGCACTACACTGAATTATAAACGCTTCTTCAGGAACAATGTTAAACATATTCACATTATGTTCAGGGGTGTATCTACCGCAGGGCAAACAAGGCATTTGTCTAGGGCGGCACTTTCCAGGGGCAGCAGAAAATGCCGCCCCAAACCAACGAGGCAGACAGGGCCAGACATGCCTTTGGGCATACTGGGCATTTGCCCAGTGGGCCGAGGCTGGGGGCAGTAAAATGAGGCAAACTAGGCAGCCGCAAGGCCCCAAGAGCCGTTGCCTAATTAGAGAGCTGCCCGGTGGAGGGGAGGGCCCAGTGAGTTGCGGTCCGGCTGGCTTTGTACAGGAGGTGGAGGAGAAGCAGCGGGTGGCTCAGGGCTGGCCATAGCATGTGATCTGATGGCGGGATGTCCCAGAAGCAGGCTGGGGACTAAAATGTATTCTTTAGATTGAGGGGGGTGTCCAAGCTTAGTCATGCGTAGGGCAGCACAAAACCTAAATACACCACTGGTTATGTTATGTCGTTATGTGACAGACGTTCCCTACTGAGACCCAGAAGAAAAACTTATATTCCTGTTCTTAAAGTGCATGCAGGACTTGCAGCGATCTTGGGTCTATGCATAGTCTATTCAGCCTATCGTGGAGATTGTCTCCATTGGCAGGGCTTCAGTGGTGAAAATGTGCATTTCTGCCTCTGAAGCCCTGCCAGTAGAAACCATCTAAGCTGGATAGGCTGTGCACAGACCCAAAGTGGCTGCCAAAAGCCTCTTCTTTTTTTTTAATCCTTCTCTTTTTTTCCATTTTTTGTTTTAAGATCATTGGGGCCTTCCCTCACCTCCACATGTAAATAGGGGATAGAGTTAATTTTTTTCACTGTGCCGAAGTACTTTCAGACCATGGTACCTTATTGTTGGCCAGCCAGTATTTTCTTTTCTTAAACAGAGCTGTTTTCCGGGAAAGGCAAAACATTTTTAATAAAGTTTCATAAAGGTGGGTGAAGTGGATTGTGGTGGTATTACCTATTGCAGCCAGTCAAATTTCTGCTCCAGCATTTTTTTTGCTTACACTTATGTGTGCATACAATAAATCCCCATGTGATATGAATAATTTCTGAATGTAAAATGAACTGGATTTGCACTGGTTGGTTGGGTTCTTTCAATATGTGCCTCTTAGTTTTTTTAGTTTAGCACTTAGAAAATTCAGTGAGGAAATGGTTGCAGCTATATATGTCCTGGCAGAAGATTAGGTTATATACCATTTATTAGAAGAAGAGCGTAAACTCTAGACATTGAAACCATTTAACTACCTTATGAAGAAGAATGTGAGGAATGTCAGGTGTGGCATTACCTGAATTTGAACATACCACTTTTTTGCTTTGGTGATGTTGGAGTTTCATCTTTGACCCACCAGGTGCACAGAAGCCTGCATTGAAAGAAATATGAAGGCTGCTTCTTTGTAAAAATGCTTGTTTTCTGACTGTGTCTGGCTTCAAGAAGAATTCCGGGCTAATAAAATCTTATCCCTTGCAGTGTGGTTTCCCCCACACTGCAAGGGTTACGTCTCATTTTGCCTAGGTAGCTCAAATGTGAGCACCTGTTCTGATGTGAAGTACACAGTAAAGCTGGCAATAAATCAGTAAAATGTCATTAAAAAAAAATGTTTGTTTTAGGTACGTTCAATTTTATTATAGTTAATGGGGTCAAATCGATGATCGATTTTGACCATGGTGATGAAAAAAAATTGCAGGAGCAGGATGGAAATTTTTTTTCTCATGTGGACGAAATTCTAACTTACAGTTTTTTTGTTTGGGTAAACACCATTCATTCCAAATATCAAATGTTCAAATTAAACGAAATTTCAAAAAACATTCTAAGTGCATTATCGAATGTTCTGACCAGATTTTTCGTATGAAAGTTCATTTGAAAATGTACTAGTGTATGGCCAGCTTTAGTTCTTAGTTGAGACATTTTGTTAAATATAGCCTACTGTTTTTATTGGATTTGACATTGACCAAATGTAGTGATTTAAACCATCTCAGAACAAGGAAACCTAAAGTCACAGAACAGCTAGTGACATTGTACAATATATGGACAGCTTTGTCTTTGAAAGAGTCTGTTTCCTGAATGAACAAGTGATGAATCACTGCTTTATTTTCTCAAGGCGACAAGAGCTGCGGGAACTTCGGCTGCTACAGAAAGAAGAACAGAGAGCACAACAAATCCTTAGTAACAAATTGTTGCAACAGAGAGAACAGATCTTCCGACGCTTTGAACAGGAAATGACGGTGATTACCCACTTCTCTAAGAACTTGTAGAGAATAATTCACTTAACGCTACTGAACGTAAATCATTAAATTCTGAAGAACCCAAGGCACTTTCTAAGATGCTTGACATGTTCTAAACATTTACTATTGTTTGTGATCCATAGGACATTTTAAGAGTTGCAAATAGGTCTGGTTCCTCAATAGGGCTGCAACAACTAATCGACATAATCGATTATAATCGATTATTGAAAAAGTTGTCAACTTTTTCAATAATCGATTAATCGGCTTTTGATAAGGTGCCCCTACAATGAGAAAGTCTTACAAGGAAAAAGAGAACATGAAGCATTATGTTGAAGGCACAGTAAAATGGTACACAATATAGCAATGCTATAAGAGTACTATAGAGACTAAAGTACAGTTCCACGTTTGCAGGCAAATTTTAGAAAACCCCACTATGTTTGTGTTCCCATTCACAGAGCATGTCTAAAAATAATTTCCAAAAATACTGTCTGTATCTTTTACCTATTAGCTGTTTCTTTTGTTGAAGGCCTTTCTGCAGATTCCAGGCTACTCTCAGCAGTTTACAAGTGAAAGTAGAGGGTCAAAGTCAAGGGGCGGCTGGGGGCATGGCGGTGCATTGAAGTCAATGGCACTGCAGCCAGTACAAATTTAGTTTACAGCTGATAATGAAATCTGCCAGTACAGTACAGCACAGGCAGGGTTAATTAGAGTAAACCTAACTCCAAATATTCCCCTCCTTCACATTTCATAGCGGAGAAGCTTGGTAGGATTTTTAAGCAAGTAAAAAGCCCTTAAAGGCGTAAGCAGTATATTTTTTTCTTTTTCTCAGTTATGCTATATGAATGGGAACAGGAAACAAACATAACATAGGTGTTATACCAAATTGGTTGCAAGAGTAGTAATACACTTTAAGATTTGGTTACGGCAGTTTTATTTATATAATACTTATTGTATGTGCATGGCTATCTTGTAGGCCTCTGTGCAAACCTTAATTTAGGGAGGGGGTGGAGGCCTGGAAATTAGCTTTAAATTATCCAACATTTACCCCATTATTTCCTGCCATAGAGCTTATTTATCAAGCACAGCAGGGGAGGAGAGCCCAGTCACATGACTTGTCAAAGTCAACACTTCAAGGTAAACCATACAGAACACTCTAAGTGAAACTATAGGCTCCACATTGCAACTTGCATTTTAGGAACTACTCAGGGAATGCAGGTGCAGCATGGACTAAACACCGTGGTGTACAACCAAGCAGTATCTGCTCGCTGCTATAAATAGGCTCCTCTATGGTACATAGCTTTATAAACTGTGTTTAATCATGCATTTAAGGTGACGTTAAACTCAGAGGGAAATCTTAAAAATGCATTCAAGCATCCTAACTAATAAAAAAAATGGAGCTTATTTGTGTATCACTCGGCTGTAGATCATCAGATGATCTCTGAATTGGTGCTGACACTGTCCTTCCTTCTGGAGGGGGGTACTTTTGTTCCCCATGGTCTCTGTGTGTGTTGTAAAGTAGCCCCCGCTCCAAGCTCGATTCCATGACAGACTACAATCTCAATAGAAATTAGTAATCTAAATGTGAGATTGAAGTCCATCAGGGGATTGAGCTTGGAGCGGTGGCTACTTTAGAACACACACAGGGACCATGGAGAACAAAAGTAGCCACCCTCCAGAAGGAAGGACCGTGCCAGCACAAATTCTACAGCCGAGTATCACCCAAATAAGGTACAGTGTTGTTAATAGTTGGGGTGCTTGAATGCATTTTTAAGATTTAACTCCTGAGTTTGGTTTCAATTTAATTGTGATTAATAAACATAGAAAATAAGGAAATTTTTTTTTGCAGAGCAAAAAGCGGCAGTATGATCAAGACATAGAGAATCTGGAGAAGCAGCAGAAACAGACCATAGAACGGCTTGAGCAAGAACACACCACTCGTCTAAGAGATGAGGCAAAACGAATCAAGGGAGAACAGGATAGAGAATTATCCAAGTTCCAAAGTGTTCTGAAAAATAAAAAGAAAGAGGTAAGGCTGTTCTGGCATAAAGGTCAGGATAGTTCAGTTGTATCTTCAACGTGTAAACTGTAATTGTGGCCAGTAAATCTAAATGAGCTAAACTGCTCTCTCCTTCTGACTCTACTCCAGTGTAGATTTTTCTGTGCTGGAGAAGTTTGTTCACGTTTTGGCTTCATAAGGGAGCTGGCAGCATTAGTATGCATCACCAAACCTAGCTGATTTCTCAGCAAGACACAACTGGTATTGAGAGCAGCGATGAGTTGAGACCCCTAACAAGAAATCAGATAACTGTTTTTATTGTTAACTCCTGAAGCCTGATGATGGATAATCTATGGTTGAACTTTACTCTGCAACATGTTAAATACGTTTGTAAGAGTCTACTGACTAAGAAAATATGCCAAGCAATTTTAATAAAACATGCTGTGTATGACAGTATTGTTGAAGTGAATTAAATAAAAGGTTTGGTGTTTGGGTCCACCCAAAACTGTGTTTTGCAGTTGTTGGAATATAGAAATGTCACCAGCACACCAAAATCCTTTTAGGATAGCAGAATGCTCATTTATTTGAAGTTCCTTGTCATATAAACAAGCGCTTTCGGGGCCGCGCTGGGTCCCTTCATCAGGCTTAGCATTGCTGTGGTTTGCTAGTGACATTTCTATATTTTGCTGATATACGCGGCGCCATCCGCAGTCATTGCGAGCACCAAACCTATTACAAGGGACTTTAGGTAATGGAGTGCAGCAAGGCAAAGAAAAGTATCTATTGCAGTTGTTGAAGCCACGATAGTGAGAGTGGTAGCGAGATCTCTATACTTGGGTTCCAAGGCCTGCATATCTGTTGTGGCTAATATAACTGACTCCCACTCCCATAAGGACTCCAAGATGGACACTTAGCCCATTAGACTACACCTGTAACTGAAATAGGAATGTTAGTGTGATTGTTTAAAAAATTAACTAGGTAACCAAAACTTTCTGCCCTTACATGTACTCTTTAAAGTAAAGATACATCACTATCTGCACATTGGAAATAAGTAGATGTTTAACCATTTCTATTTTCAAAGGAATTGTGATTCTGTTAAGCCAGTCCTGTGATTTAGACACCCCTGGTGCTCTGCATAGCCTGGAAGCTGATTCGATTATTTTATGTTCCAGTTTTCTAGTACTTTTTTCCTAGTTTTTCTAGTTCTAGTTTTTTCCTTACTGTATATTAGACATAGGTGATGATGCTGACTGGTTCATTAAGTGGACTGGAGATGAGGGTAGGGTGGGGGTTGTGACACTGTAAACCGTGAAGGCAGACTACAGTGTGGCAGTAGTATGTAAATCTCAAGACTGGTTGCTAAATACATTTACAAATCCTTTGGCAGGTAAAACTGTTCAGTTATTTCACCATTTTTATAGCACTTAGTACAGTATATGATTGTATGAAAATATAGGGGCCTTCTTGGAACACTCTTGAATGGAAGAGCATAAAAAAAATCTATGTCCTGGGTAAGTAATGGCACAGATTTGAGGAATGCTGAGCAATGATTGTAATGATAGAAGCCAGAAGTAATTATAAAAGAGAACTATGGGGTAAGTGTTTTCCCCCACAGTTCTCTTAAGGGTCACAGGAGGACACATACTAGCATCCTCCTGTGAGCCAAAGCTCAGTATATCGTGAGCTACAGCTTGCGGTATACTGAGACCGACGCAGCCGGGGCGGCTGAGTGTCGCGACTGGATGTTGAGATCCACCCAGTTGCGTGAATGACAGCGGGCTCTGCCTATCTAGAGGCAGAGCCAGCTGTGCCCGCCCCCTCCCCGTCCATTCCTCCAGTCAGGAATCCCTGCAGGTAGCGGTGACTGACAGTCACCACTCTCTGCAAGGAGATGATCGAGAAGCGAGCGAACGACGGTATGCATTTGCTCACTTCCCAATCTATTGAGCCGAAGTGTGACAGTTTCATTGTCGCACGTTGGCTAGAACTATGAGGATGCATGACTTTCATTCCTCATAGTTCTCCTTTAACTTAAGGTACTTAAAATAAAAATGGCATATGCTCACATACTTAACGGCCCTGTAATGATGTAACTATTTTATATAGTACTATTGTTTTTTAATACATACATATTCTCTCATTTGTTTTAGATATATCAGATTGTACATATTACTGAATCATTATTGTATGCTATACCTCAAATACCTTGCTATTGGTTGTTTATATTGTGTAATAACGTGACATTTTCTTCTCCCTCTCCACTTTGTGAGCTGCATTTTGAGTCCTTTTTTTCTTTGACTTGGTGGTTGGGCCTAAAACACTATTAACGTTTCACACACGCCGGTGGTGTTTTGACCATGGTCAGGGGTTTCTTTACAATGATGATCATTTCTGATCCTTCCAGTGCACAAGTTTAACAGATCAAAGGGTACAGGTTTGAAAAGTAGCTTATAGGGACATGTTGGCCAAGTTTTTTCCCTACACTGTAATTTATTCTATCAGACATATTCAGTATAGTGGTGCTAAGAGCAAAACAAAATGTGCAAAGGGGCGGATTCCGGTAGCAAACAGAGATAATTTTTTGCTGATCTAGCAAAATCTAAAATCTGATTGATTACTGTCCATAGCACATTCTTCTTGCCTATAGTATAGCAGTGTTTTTAGTATACATCTATATGTATACTATGTGTAAACCTTATATAGGTTTTGTTGCCTCTGATGGCTCTAACAATTTCCTTTTGACATCGTGCTATATAGTAAACCCTGATCCAAATCTCTTTGTTTTAGGATTAGTAACTGCAGCATGTCCTGCTGTTTACACTTTTAGGGTGGTCTAAGCCCTTCCATGTATATATAATTATGCTCATGGCAGGAAGGTGAAGGTTTGTGTATGCCCCAGCGTGGTTCATTTTTGTGCAGATTGCATCTCTAGTGTTAAACTTTGTGCACACAGGTATTTTTAACACTAAATCTGTTTCAATTAGTGGAATTTCCTTACATTGTATGATGCGGAAAGCTTATTTCTCCTACCGTTCTGCAGCTTTGCTCTGAGTTCTCTTTTGGTATATGGGTTTCTTCACATCACAAACCTCACATACATAACCACATTACTACCATTCTGCACCCTCAAACCAACAGTTTTTGGGTTCTACAAAAACAGACTTGTATGTGAGACCATCAAAGCAAAAAGTATGCATTTTCTGTTACACACTTAACTAATTTTAGAGCAAGGGAAGGCAACCTCATCACTCCAGCTTGTGTGGACCTTTAAGTCCCATTAGGCATTTTAAGACTCTTACAGCCACAAGCATGACTTCCAGAACCACCACAGTGTTACCCCTGCTGTAGAACAACACTGGTGTAAGTTATGGACTTACGGATAGTGTCTTTGTATACTTAAAGGAATACTGTAGGTAGATATACAGTATTTGTGGACTGCATAAGGTTCAGTAGGGCTAGTGAATGTCCTGATTAAATTCCCTAAGCAAATGAATAGAAAATATACTCCACAAAGACTAGAGACACCAAATGTTGGTCATGACTGGGACAGGAAGTAAGGGGAAATTGCCTCCCAAACAGAACACAGGCCCAATGTAGGATTTAACTTTTCTTTGTTGTATCCAAATAATTAAAAATGTTTAAAATGTATTTGTATTTGTTTACTGTCGTGGATTGGCCACGGTTTCAGCAGTATACATTCACAGTGTTTTAATTCAGTTTAAAAGCCAGTGATACAAAAACAATTAAATAAACCTTTTTATTTTTAAATATTTTATTATTTGTACTGTTTAACATGCACAGTACTTATCAGAATGAATTTCTATTCATAGATTGATCCTATTTTAGCTATAGGACAGTTCAGATTGTACATCTTTGTTCCTAGAGCATGTTAGAAAATGAAACCATTGACAACACAGGTATTTTTGTTCTGGCTTTTATTAGTGTATCTTGATGTGTAATATTTTTAGATATCAATAGTTCATACTGTGTCCTTATGATGAACAGCTAGCTAAACAGCCAGTCCACACAAAATGTTGTATTTTAGTTGTAGGTGAAGCTCAGTTCATACCTCCCCATCCCCAACATGGAGCCCAACTCCTGTTGTGTCATAGGGCATCTCACTTCTGCTGTAGAATTCTCCATAATGTCAATTAAGTGAATAGTCTACCAGGGATGGTACCCTATCCCTCCGTAATGGCAATTGCAGCTAGAAAGTATTAGTGAGAAGATCTTGTAGCCCCCCCCCCGCTCTTATCTGCACAAAGCCAGAGGATAATTCAGTTTACCAGCATCTATCCAGAAGTGGGATCTCCTTTTAGGATGACCTGATCACTTTAATTATAACAAAGAAAGCCTCCTTTTGAAGTGTTAGGTAATTGAAAATGCATGCAGTTACATATAACAAATTCACAGCAAGTCATTGACTAAACATCATTGCACCTTTCTTTCACTTGACATGTAACCCACTCTGCAGGCATCTGTCACATTGGTGGTGTGGCTTTACTCTGCCTCATGTGCTTGCTCTAGAAAAATGGTCATATTTCCCCACCTTCTGCATGCTCATACCAGGTAATTAATGACGTGGAGAAAGCACCTAAAGAGCTGCGAAAAGATCTTTTGAAACGCAAGAAAGAGGAACTTGCACAAAAGCAGCAGACTCAGGTAACTGCATACGCTTTGTGCTACTAAATCCAGAGACGCCATCTAACATTTTCCTGATTCTGTAGTGGCCAATAAACCTGTCTGTCCGCTAACACTGTCATGTCCAACTAATCCAGCTGATTTTTATCACTAAACAACATGTGCCATACTAGATTATTAGATGAAAATACGCAACACTCATGAGTGGAATGGTTGGGTGTTTTTATTAAAGTCACTGCTTTGCCAGTTCATGGTTGGTGCTACGAATGTCCTGGATCTTTTAACAGTAAGCAGGTATTGTGTTATAAAAAGCACAATGGTAACTTACCGTTATTTCTTTGTTGTTAAATGTGTAACAAACTGACAAGACTTTTGAATTACCGAGGTGTTATGGAATGTTTCTGCTATTGCTGGATCTAATTTTGTTGGTAATGATGTTAAATTCAGTGGTAGGTATATTAGTGCCATTTTTAAAACTGGAAAGACATCTGTATTGATCAAGCAATGGCTCCAGTGTTTGGATGACTGATATGTGTGCTGCATGATCCCTTAAACCCTGTTTAGTCATGGACCAGTAAGACTTTTAATGAAGATGCAAAGTGAATGTATCAATACTCTTGCCATGGGGGAAAATCAATCAATTTTTGCATCCTCTCAGTCCCTCCACGGGTGACGTAGGCATAAACTATCTTCCTTCTCCACCTCTTGCAGTCAGGGTATGCTGAGAAATATGAGAATATCCTCCAATGCTCTCACTATATGGTATAATGATAGGAGCTGATAAAATGTTGCCATTTCCTTCCTGTATCCATTCCCTTCCTCTGACTCAGGAAATAGGACAGAAAGGTCAACAGGAAGTAATTTGGGTATTTCCACCTTTACTTATGATTTGTTTTGACCTTCCAATGCACATATGGCAAATATTGAATTTTATGGTGAACACAGTTTCCTGTATTTAGGTAAGCACCATAGGTGCTACTGTGATTTATACTGAATCAATTTACCTTCTCAAAGGGGTAATTGTTAGCTCTTGCTTTTAGTCTGCCTCTCATGTTGTGGCTGTATTGTATTCTAATCTGCAGGGTGTTGCCCAGGTTATGATTCAGTCTTTTCAGTTGTCATCATGTACTCTATTCAACGCCCAAATGCAGGATGTAAGTCTGCCGCTTGAGAGATGTTCTTGGAGGTTTGCAGTTTGACTCTCGCATGCGTGTGTTCAGTTAGGATCATGGGGAGCTTTCTACAGAGGCTGTTGCTAAGGAAAAGAATGGTGTTCATTGATTTGCAAATGCAATTCTTCTGGGGTAGTTTGGAAAAAAAAAATATTGGTTGTCATGGATACACCATCTTTTTCAGTGGATCGGTTCTCTTAAAGGATGTCTCCTTCCAAACTAAAAATACATGGTTAAATCACCTGTGTAAATAACACTTTCATAGTGTTTTATTACAAACCTCAACTGTCCAAAAGGCTTCTTTATGAAGTTTGATTTTGATAAACTGATCTGGGTGGAATATAAATCACTTGTCTGAGTGTTTGAGTTTTGGGTGGAAATAACCATGACATCTACTTTAACGTCTATTCAACAGAGCTGTAAGACTGGATTCCACTAAACTCTAGATATGTATACCTAGTGCTAGATAAAATGAAACATGCTCCATTGTGGTTCACCAGCTACACTAGTAACAGTTTGCTTAGGTAATTATTTAATTCTGCCAATTAAAACTTAATTTTAGATTTAAAAAAACAAAAACACAATGCTTTGTTTCCTTTTAAAGCCGAGCTCTGGTAACACAATTTATGTACAATAATGGCTACACAACATCATTTATTATATTTTTTTTAAATGCATTTTTTGTGAAAAGTGCTTGTTTAGTATTACACCTAAATGTGGATTAGGTGGGAAGGACTGATCTAAAAAAGAAAACCGAAGAACTCATGAGGCAATGGGAGTTTTCCCTGCTCTGATGATGCTTGAGCAGATGTGCATTTTATTTGTCTTTATTCATAAAGAAAGTAGGTAACATCTTAAAGGGAGGTATTTAAGTAATATAAAAGATTTTTATTGTACAGTTTCTTCTTAATCATCCTAGAATATACTATGTGTGTGTGTGTGTCTGTATGTGTGTGTCTGTATGTGTGTGTCTGTATGTGTGTGTACATATGTATATATATGTGTATATATATATAATTAACGTGCTCCTATATTTTTAGTCTTGAGTAGGAGCTATAAAGAAATCTGCTTGGCTGCATTAGTCATACTGGGGCTTTTATAGGAAATTGCAGACTTTACCTAATATTGTCAGAGGACGTAGTGCAATGCGTGGGGTGGATCTGTTGAGAGCAGCTGGCTTGGTTCCTAGTTCATAATTATTCCGGTCTGACATTTCTGCTGAATAGACGTCATATTGTTTTCTTTGTATCCTATTTAAACCTTATACTTTTCTTTATATTAAAAAATATATATTGGATTTCTGTTTGCTGTGCTCTACTGTTTGTTTATAATATAATTTGTTCTGTCCTGGAAAAGGTAAGTATGCTTTCTGTGAGATGATAATCTATCTCAGAGGTCTCTGAAGTGATCCAAGTTTTAGGCTAAAGCTGGCTACACTCGGCTCGAGTTTTTGCCAAGTCCTGCTGAGTTGGCCTAAACTGCAGCAGTGTGCTGCCCCGTCAGCACCCCTAAGAAGAAGGTGGTCTAAAGATTTTAGGATGAACAGTGACTGAGCCAATCAGCTGCGGTTACTGTTTGGGTATTTTTTCATCGGCACAACCGCCGCTGTTGGTATAGAAAAGCCCGGTGAATGGGATTTCCCCCATCCACCCTGTTTAGCGTGGATCGGGGAACTAAGCGTTTTTTTTTCTCGTTCAGCCTGTGGGGCTAAACAAGAAAACACGGTGTATAGCCAGCTTTAGTCACTGTCTTCTACTTTGCCATGCTTGGTGTGATTAACATATTCCAATAGGAGTCATGTAACTCCAGAGCAAGATAAAGGGGAGGTGTCGTCCATAGCAGCAAGCTAGGTTTCATTTGTCTCTTTAGTACTGCAGACAAGATTGTACTCTTGCTTGCTTGCTTGTTGTAGTAAAGATAATTTTTTTACCTTTTCTCTAATTTCTAGAAATTGAAATTCCCAATTTATTTTAAAGGAGAACTATTGGGAGAGTAAAACACTCTTTTCCCCATAGTTTGAGCTGCCATTCTACACTGCTGCTGTCACACGCTGGCTCTATAGCTTGAGAACGTCATCAGGAACCGCTGATCGCTCAGCTTTTTCCTGCAGATCCCCACAGGCTGCAGGGATTCCCACTTTCCTCTCTGTTCCTCCAGCGCTCATTCGTGGGACAGACAGGGGAGAGGGTGGGTACAGCTGGCTCTGGCTGTAGAGAGGCAGAGCCAGCTGTCAATATTGTCGGGATCTTTTCAGGCTGTAGCACGGCTCTGCCCTGTCTAAATATAGCGGACAGTAGCCTGCTATATGCAGACTTTGGGTCACAGGGGGAACAGTAGTAAATGTGCTCCTGTGACCCAATGGAGAACTGTAGTAAAAAACAAAAACAAAGAGAAGGCTTGTCTATAGTTCTCTTTTAATTTAATTAAAATAATTTAAAGTAGTATTACACGCTCAAACTTTTTTTCAATAATGAATCCTGATCAAACAAATATATGTTGCCCAGGAAAGCATTGCTTTTATTTTTTTGCTAAAATACTTCAAAAATAAACATTCTTCTGAACAGCTGCTCCCAAGTCTCTCAGCTGAGCTTCCCTAAATTTCCTGACCAGAACAAGATCAGAAGGGACAGAGCAAACTCCAGCAACTGTTCATCTACTAGCTTGGAGGGAGGGAGGGAGGGAGGAAGCTTGATTTGACATGTCTGTGTGTTTGTAGAGACGCACACAGCTTACTAGTACACACAAGGGTGACTGCATAGCACTCTGTTTGAGAAAGGAGTCACTCTAAAACAGGAAGTCAGGATCAGTGCTCAGCGGACCAGCTAATTCTGCAGGAAACTAAAACTTTTAAAAATCAAAAAGCAGCTTCCATTGTAAGTGATAACATCAGCATTTGAGATAGATTAAAACTCTTTTGACTTTAATATCACTTTAAAGTGACAAATTCAATGCAAATGGTATTCCATTGAAATCATATCGGGTATTTTAGAAGTTGCAAATGCAACTGTGCCTGCGTTCCTAGAGTGCCCTAGGCCCTCTGACATTTGAAAGGCTGAATAAATAAATTTTAACTGCTATTCTGTATGGCAGTCAGTGCCATTGTAATGCCATAAGTCAATATGGAGTGTATAGGAGTCACCACAGCAGCGGAAAATCATTTATCTACCATTACCACTTCAAGAATGTATGTCCTGTGCTGGGAACCTCTGATCATTGACTCTGTAGTTGATTACCTTGCACCAGATGACCTTGATGTATGATGTGTGGATGTCTTTGAAGCTGTCACATGTTTCTTGCGTTGGGTACTGCAGTGGTGTTCTTAGCAGTGTGATGTAGTTGTATAGATATACTCCCCATTTACCAAATTGTCTGAGATTGATGTGTTTCTGAATTGTTACTGTTATGAGATGAACAATAATTGATCTGCATAGTAGTTTGTAGATGTGTGTACAGCACGTGTGCTAACTTTATTGGTTACATTTCAAATGACTCTAGAAACATTAATAATGGACTCTCTCTGTAAAAATGTTTCGGGAGTAACTTTAAAAATATCTTGATAGGAACAAGAGTTTGTGATGAAGCAGCAGCAAGAGTTGGATGGATCATTGAAGAAGATTATTCACCAGCAGAAGATGGAGCTGGCCACCATAGAGCGAGACTGCTTGAATCATAAGCAGCAGCTCCTGAGAGGTACATATCTTACAGATATATAAAGTATACTGTACTCCCTGGGATTGATGAATCTAGACCTTTAACAGCCTGTGATTTTTTTTTGCCTGATTTTTAATAAAATGTTATGTATTACAGCGCGGGAAGCAGCAATTTGGGAACTTGAAGAACGCCACCTGCAAGAAAAGCACCAGCTGCTGAAACAGCAACTAAAGGATCAGTATTTCATGCAGAGACACCAGTTACTGAAGAGACATGAAAAGGTATAAAATAGATTTAACTTGAATGCCACATTCTTGGGGGGGACTGTCCTTCTTACTGTCCAGATTAGACAATAGTAATCAAACCTCACTCTCTGATCCAACTACTGTACTCCCTCCATATAAGTGCACAACACCCCAAACACTTGCTTTGCTGGGGTGGTCTGCTGTAATCTGAAGACATATAAGCCTTCATAATCATCAGCCTAGTCCTGCACAATAGTTTGTTTTGTTTAATAGTTTGGATCAGTGGCTCTCTGCTGCAACATATGTATATCAGATACATTTGTTGCAGCCACCTAGAATCTCCAATCTCTAAGGAAATACCTGGTGACTGGCGTAAGGGTGGCCATGGGAAGCATTGTAGTTTCAAGTGATGACACATTAGAGCATTTTTTAGAACTATTGGGAGGCCGTGAAGCCCTGGACAGATTATTCAGATTGAAGGATGATCGCAATCATTAGGAAATGTCAAAATCGCTCATTATCACATACAGATATTTCGACATGTTCGTGATTCTTAGAACAGCTGACTGATGATTGTTCCTTTATAAGTGGGGAAAGATAGAGGGGAACTTTGCATGCAAAAGTCAGCCAGGGAGGAGTGAAGCTTGTGACACTCCAGTGGATCATGAGGTGGCTCACTTCCTGTCATTCTGACATATCTGCCTGTCTGTGACCTGCTTGGCTTAAACTTTGCTGCATTCAGTTCCCAGTATGCATCAAGTCCTGCATACTTTAAATGTAACAGCCGTTAAGGTTTGCCTAACTTTATATAATTTCACCGAAACATTTCACATTATCAGATAAAGGTTTTTTTGTTTTTGTTTTTTATTTCTCATGAATGGGCAAACTGGTGGAGATTAGGGAATTTGATGTACCGTAGATATTCTTAATTATGGCTCTAAGGCCCCATTCACATTGAGCGATTTATCGCGCGGTAATTCCCGCGATATAGCGGCAATTTACCGCGCGATATCGCTCTCCAATGCTTCTCAATGGGGCAAAGGGTCCTGCTGTCGCGGGTCGTGTGTTGCTACAGCAGGACCCTTTTTGGAGGGATTTAGCCGCTATTCAAGCTTGCTCAATGCAAGCATTTGCACGATATCGAGCAAAATGCAAATCGCGCGACAAACACGCGATTTGCGAACCGCTCAATGTGAACGGGGCATAAAACCCAGAGGGCACTTTCTCGGTGTCTAGAAATGCCAGTTTTATAGTTTCTTTCCTACATCCTCATGTAAGTGTGTATATTTGGTTTTGTTGTAGCTTTCTTCACCTGTATGTTGATAAGGTGAACAACAACCTCTGCTCACGGTGAAGGTTTTGAGTCCAGTTTATTTTAGCAGATTGTTTTCTAAGCATGTAATGCAGCTTTTCCAAGCTGGTGTGGAACTTCAACTTCAGACAAGCCGTGCAAAGCAGAACCTAGAGGTTATATAAAAGACACAGAGTATTGGGGGATTGATAATTTAACAGCACATGGAAAGCCACAGGTTGGGAAAGATTAACATAACACCAACTCTGTGAACAATATCAGAAGGCATGATAAGAATCCACTTAATATCTGCTGCACCCTCTGTACTTTAACTGCTGTCAGTTTTAATATAGCCATGCTTCTGTGCCCTGCTAGCTACCCACTTGTAAGAACTTGTAGCTGCAGAAAACCAGAACAAGGGAACAAGAAACAAATAGAAACATAGCAAGCCCAGCAATCCATTAATTGAAGCAGAACTCCAAAGAGATTTAAAGGACATCAATTTATAAAACATCCCTCCCTCAACCCCTAACCAGCTGAAGTGCTTACTTACCTCTTCATGACAGTGGCAGCCACCTCCAATGTTTATTACCTCCGTGCAGAAATAGTCTCTGGTGCTGTCTGCTCAGTAACATCATTTAGACTTGGAGAGGGCTGTACTCCTAGCTTATCTAGTGTAGGAGTACAGCCCCATTCAGGTCTTTGGGAACTTGCTGCACAGGCATGAGCATTGCTACAAAAGATTTCTGCACCAAGGCTATAGACATCCAAGGGCGGTTCTAGCTTACTGGCTGCTAGGAAGGGTGATGTGTTCTTTTGTTTTGTTATTAAAGGTCATCATTAAATGTATTTTAAGATGCAGGTTTTGTATAGTAGCTGAATCTGCCACAATACTAGCCTCTTGTAATCCCCTGTGCTATGAGGAGGTCAGTATTGCAAACCAGTCAGACTTTGCTGCATACATATGTTTGACAAGGAAGATGTTCACAGGAGTAGGGATCATCTAATCAGTCTGTTCCTGCTCCTTCATTATCTATTTATAGGCAGGGGTCAGAGAGGTGCCTAAGCTGTATTGTTTAACTGCAGCAAAAAAAAATTCAGGTCACTATCCTGGCTGCACTGTCTGGCAGAGCTGTGAAAGTCTCAAGACTGGTTAAACAACCTTTGGCAGGTAAAACAGCCCCATGCCTATATTTCATCTGTATATTTAGCTGCTTGCCTTGAATTCACTAAGATAAATTGTTCCTGATTGCATAGGTGTCCTAAACGTACCAGTCCAGCTTGTAGTAATAAAGCCGAAGCAACATGCATGCTAAGATTGTATCTTTTCCCAGTGACTTTTAAGACTGTATTTTTCTGCTTTATTTAGAGGTGGTTATCTAGAGGCACATTTCACTTATTATGTTGTCATCTGTAGGAAATGGAGCAGATGCAAAGATACAACCAGCGATTAATAGAAGAACTGAAAAATAGACAAACTCAGGAGAGGGTACGGCTGCCAAAAATTCAGCGAAGTGATGCCAAGACTCGTATGGCTATGTTTAAAAAGAGTCTAAGAATTAATTCAGCTGGATCTCCAGAGCAGGACAGGGAGAAGATAAAACAGGTAAAGCTGATTGCGCATTGTGTGTGTTAATTGTTTATGAAACCACAGACAAGTTGTTATTGGCGACATTTTCAGAGTATATTGACACTTCTATAACAAAATCGTGTAATGCAAGTGATGTTCTTGATTGAGAAATTGTGTGGATAATATTAAGCACTTTGGAGGCATTCATTATTGCACAAGAATTTTCCAATTTGTTAAAAGATTTCCCTGTGAGCAGATATAATTGTTCCGACTTCCTTGGAGTAAAGGGAATGCAATATTGGAAAGTATTGTGCATGCCTTGTATGGTCTATACACTGTAGGCACTATGGGCAGATCACAGTGATGCTTATAAAATAAAGTCTGTTAATGGTAGTCCATTTTAATGTTGAAGTACTTTGTAACTTTTTTTTCTTAATATCTTCAGTTTGCCGTCCAAGAAGACAAACGACAAAAGAATGAGAGGTTAACTCAGCACCAGAAACATGAAAACCAAATGCGAGATTTACAGCTTCAGTGTGACGCCAACATCCGGGAGCTACAGCAGCTACAGGTTAGAACTGTGTTGTAAGGTATTCCCGTTGTAGGTCTTGCCCGATGATTAATAGAGGCAACAGGATGCACACAATGGTATAGCACTGTAAATGTGGGTAATAGATTATAGGATAGGAGGACGATTACTTGATTTTTATTCCTAGCTGAGTAGGCAACAATCAAAGTTGCAGGTAGAGAATACCTGAAGCTTTCTCAACACAGCCTTTCTGGTTTTGAAGACCTATGGGCTACTGCGCACATGCATAGATGTCTTTCTAAATGGAATTCTGCTAATCCTGAATCCTTTATTAACCTTGTAAATGGCAGCCCCAAACAGCTATTTGCATCTGTACAAATACTTCCATATACATATAATAAAGTTTTCTTGGCAATTTTTTTCTGAAGCATGCCAAAGACATAATTTTATGTGCTGGTATGATTACACTATGGAAGACCTTTCTTTTGAAAACTCTTAATATAAGCATGTGGGACCATTTTGGAGGAAACAGTAGCAAATGACTGTAATTTTTAAATACAGCTAATTATTAGACTACAATCTCAAGTTAGTTTACTAAATTGTATTGAAATTGTAGTCCATCACAGGTGCTTGGAGTGGTGGCTACTTTACAACACACACACAGGGACCATGAGGAACAAAAGTAGCCACCCTCCAGAAGAAAGGACAGTGTCCGCACCAATTCAGAGATGGTTTGAGGAACTAAAGTTTAGTATCACCTTAAGTGCCTGTGTCGACAGGCTTTGGTTTGTGTTGATGGCATCAGTTTGACATCCGTTTCAGATAGTTCAGAGTTCATTAACATGTAAATCCAACTGGTTTCAAAAGGCTTTTGCGTTCCCATAGGCTTGTATGAGAATGCAAAACCCATGTGAAATTAACGCCTGTCAACACAGGCCCTAATTCATACACTTTTGTGACTGGGCTATTCCTGCTGTGCTGCACGGGCAGCTCAGCTTAGGAAAGGTTTCAACAATTTTCAGGCTGCAGTTATTGGCCTTGTGTCTTTTCTTTGGACTACTAGTGGATGTCACCACACTGGTGTCGTCCTCAATTAACGCTTTCTTGTTTTACCCTACCTTTTGTATCTACTCTTCTTCCGATCAGTTTGACAGGTGGCATTTACATGTTTATTTGTAAAATAAATATTTTTAAGAAACACTGAGAAAATTATATAAAAGATTAGTTTACACATTTGTGAAGATTAATTTGGAAATGTAAAATACAATTGATCTAAACCACTATAATTATTTAAAGTGTACCTGTTTACTCTGTATGGTGTGTATTTTTGTGTTGGGAATATCCTGTATAAAACACTTTTGGTGTTTTTAGTTTAGCACCATTTACATTACATTCTATTAAACTACTACATTTAATTTCACAATTTAGAATGAAAAATGCCACCTGTTAATAGAACATGAAACACAAAAGCTGAAGGAATTGGATGAAGAGCATGGCCAAGAGCTGAAAGAATGGAGAGAAAAGCTAAGACCGCGGAAAAAGGTACCAAACCGCCGCACTGATGCATTGCAAACCTTCCACACTTTTCTTTAATTTGCCATGTCGTTTTCTGTATCTTCTGCTAGTATTATCACCGTTCCACAGTCAGATTCAGGCAAGAGTTACCTGCAGCACTCCAGCTGTAAACCTAAATTACATAGCCTGCTGTCTTTAGCTCTGCCTGTTTAGCAGACACACACTCACGTGCTCTCTGCCTTTCAAGAGTGAAAGATAGTAGGTCAGGTTATTGTAAAGAGAGACTAGCCTAAATTGCACCCCAGATGTTACAGAAGTACCCTGTTTTAAGTCTTACAGTAAAGATTTTATACAGATATAAATTCATACTTTATACACTTATTATATAAAACTTGTAAATATGAAAAAAAAACACATTTCACTTAAATCACCAACTCCAGACAGGTTTTCATCTAATTTGGGTAGTGTAGGAAAGAGTTAATATTATTCTCAGGTTTTTAATGACTGTGTGGGACCCCATTGGGGAGATTTCCCTCACCTGCTGTCCATGCGGTGAGTGGTTGTCATTGGGACCAGAAGGCAAAGGCAGCCACAACAACATTCTCTCATCTCCTAATCCTTCCCACTGTATTAAAGTATGTCTTTTTTTTAATCTGTGTTCTCTTTGAGAGATTTCCAATAATTTCCTGTGTTGAAAAAAGTGAAGGAAATAACCCCAATGGGGAAACACCTAGCATTGAGTTTGAGGTTGGAAAACCCCTTAAACATTTGTAGTAATATTTCTGGTTGTGGAAAGGTTTTGTTTTGTTCTGTACATGCACTATTTTCTGAAAAATAATGAGATGAATTTTTGCTTGTAGGCACTTGAAGAAGAGTTTGCAAGAAAACTTCAAGAGCAAGAAATGTTTTTTAAATTGTCTGGAGAGTCAGAATGCCTTAACCCTTCATCACACAGCCGGATTTCTAAATTCTATCCTATCCCAAGCATGCATTCTGCTGGCTTTTAACTGTGTCATTTTTAGAGAATGTTTTATATACTTTTATCAGCCATGTCCCTTTTGGAACCTTTTAAAATAAACATGGAT